GAAGATTTTTGGAATTAGTGGAACTGTAGGTAGCAGTGTAGCACAATAGTTAGAATGCAGCCAGGAGTTCGATTCTGATGGGGCTCAAGGTTGACTCAGCCTTCCATCCTTCCAAGGTCAGTAAAATGAAGGCTCAGGTTGTTGGGGGCAATATGTTGACATTGTAAACCGCTCCGAGAGTGCTGTAAAGCACTCTGGAGTGGTATATAAGACCTATTGCTATTGCTAGCAGCGGAGTCCATCAGTGCTTTGTAATTTGTTACGTTTTTAAAATTCCATATGCATCCACCAGTCCGAGGTCCAAGTCAGGAACTGCACCTCAGTTCCTTGTTCTGCTAAACCACTTCTTGCTTGCTAGCTAGCCAGATGCAATGCCAACAAGCTAGTGCTTATGTACTAACTAAAATCAGTTTGGTTTTCCAGAAGAATTAGAACATGGCATACATTGTTTACTATAAACATTAGCATTTTCTCTCTTGGCTGCTTTTTCTAGTCCCTTGTCCAATCAAATGAAATATTCAAAGCAATGCAAATGCCATACCTCACTCTTCATGAAAGGAGACTGCATTAGTTTATGAAGCAGCTTCAAAGGGACACTCTAACTAACTACTAACCACTAACTATTTTCAAAAGCACTTAGCACAGTCGTACAATTTTTAGTTTCCCTAGAGAACATTTATCTGGATAGACTCATGTAGGTGTCGTTTAATAACCTGTGAAGTTTCAGAAATATTTGTGCTAGTCAATACATTTCTCATGTACACACTTGAAATACAGATTGTCCTCTTTATGGGAAGGTCACAGATTTAGTTGAAATGTGGAAAGTTATTCAGATCTGTGGATGAAAATCTAAAGGTTGTGCTCATTCACAGAGAATGAGATGAAATTGACTTGGGCCATTTAAAAATGTTCTCTTTTAATAATTTGCTTCATTGAATTCACATTGCTTAATTTATTTTGACAACTTTGATTTTATTTAATTTGCTTCAACAACTTCAACCTTGCTTAATTCACCTTCTTTGCCAGTGTTTTATATCTGGGGCTTCTTGCAAAATTGAGGTCAGACTTTGATTTGCATCTTTATTTTACTCTTGAAGGATGTTGTGGATATTTTGTATGACACTGTTTGTTATTCATTCCGGAAGTTGAATACCAACAACTGTATGAAACCCAGGGGGCTCAATCAGTTTAATTGTAGCCTTATTTTATAAACCAGTAGCACTTAACAATAACCCACCAAACCCATCCTTTAAAAATGTGGATAAAGGCAACATTATGCTCCCGCATTTTGCTTTTAGAGTTTACTGGAATTAATTAATGTGTGTCTCTGACTTTGAAGCACAAAAGAAAATGCACAGAAATATATAAATCTCAGGCTTTACAGTAACTAGCTGCTTTGTATGAAACAAGACATACTCACAGATATTTTGCAGCTCTGTCTATGCTCATAGTGGGCAGTTTCCTCCCCCATTATTGATTCCATAGAAAAAGAGGAAACATGCTTAATGCATTGTTCCTTATGAGTTCCTTACGAGGTGTTCCTGCTGGTATATTTCCCCTAATTATCTATAGCTTGTTTACCTTGCCTCCATGTGAAAGGAAAAATTGCAATTTAAAGGTTCCTGCACACTTCACTTTTTCTCAGGAGACCTAAGTATCTGTTACCTTTGTTCTTATTTCAATGGAATAACTTCCACAACTAATTTTGGGCCCAAACTTTAAGTTTTAAAGAATCCCTATGGAATAATACCAATATTGTGCTTATTTCTTCCTCTATCCTGCATCATCTTTATACGTCTGCATTTAACAAAAAAATGTATAAAATGTACAATACTTTTTTAAAAGTTTCCTGATGTCATACAACTACTGAAAAGCCAAAACTAGTAAGCAAAGGAATATATTTTACAAGCTCATCTTTATCCCCACAAAAGTAATATATTTGTATTTCATTATTTCTCCATATATTAGATCTTAACTTATAGGATTCTCAATGTGATTTGGGTTGTTGATGTTATTTTGGTTTATGTGTTTTAGATTAGTCCTTAGTTTGGAAACCCCGTTGCCTCATCACCACCCAGATTGCTGAAGTGGTCTTAGAAATCTCTTGAATATGCTTTACTGTCAGATTTACATCTAAGCAGGGAATCAGAAATCATGACAGCCTTCCCTATCCTGCCTCAATCCAGATGTATTAAACTTTCACAATTACAGATCAAAAACAAACCAGCAAAGGTTAAGTTATGAGAAAAGGCAATAGTCGAGATCAAATAACAATTCAGAAGACAAAGAAGTGACTAAAAAGTTGTGATCAGAGAATAAACTCAGATGCAAGAACAACTTAAGTACAAGAAAACAGTCTTGCTAAAACATGGTCTATTGGAACAGGGAACCTGCCATATTCTACTGTTCCTTACAGCTAAATGCACTAACCATAAATTTTCAGGAAATTTGAAGAAATGTAGGTGATATTTATAGATTTATAGATTTATCCAGCAGATAAATCCAAAACATATCACTTACATGGGTGGAAAGATATAAAATTCATTCAAACTTTAGAGAAAGAAGCTAAATTGAATGTGTCTATGTGATAGGCTAATATATTTAATTAACTGAGGGAGAAAAGATACAAGTTTCTGATTTGCTTGGATCCCAGATTGCTTAAAATATATATATTTCAATAAGATGTTTTATTCAAGTGTCAGTAATTGTTCAGTGCTGTTGGCTGGAAAGCAATTTTTTTATTATTCCACATGCAAAAGATCGATTTGGCAAGCTGAACTAGATGGGGAAGCCTATATCCTTTATTTTCTAACACACCACAGGGATCAAAATTATTGTAATTGTATTTTTGTCCTACCTTTATTTTTTACAACTCAGTGCAGTATATGTAATACTCCCATATCTTCTTTTCCCACAACAACGGGGTAAGGGAATGACTAACCCAAAGTTACCCAGCTGGCTTTCAGGCTTCAGGGTTTCTTGAAGACCATGATCTGATTCTGAAAAATGTGGCAAAAGTTCAACCATTGGTTCAGTATAAGTTTTTGTCCAAAGAATAAAATGCCCATATCATATCGTCTACACAAGAGGTCTGACAAGAAGATTACAAAGTTGAGGTAGTTCTGTCTCACACACAAAGACACACTCTCTATTTCTCAAACATAATATAACAAGAAATAATGGTACAGAGCATATTAAAATAAATATATTTCCTCTTCATTATGTGCCATTATAACCTGTCATAGAAAATTGAATAGGGATTATACCTTACATTCACTAATAAACTCCCTCCCCCAACACTGTTATAAACCACTGTTCAGAACTTTTAACAATAAACCCATTTTAATACAAGTTACCTGGAGTCTAATGAAGAATCATGTTCTCAAAATGCTTTGTTCCTTTTTCAGATTACTTTCAGAGAGTTAAATAAAGGTTGATGCTTTCATTAAAAAAAATGTAATGAGCAACAGTTTTCAGTAACAGACCTCCCTGTTATTCTGATCAGCTACAGCTTCATACCATCTTAAGTCTGAAAAATTGTTCTCCTTTTTCCTAATAACAACATGTCATAAGGCCAAGCTTATAGAAATTCTGGCAAAGAAATGCTCATTACAAATTATTACCAGGAACTCTTGTGGCAATCCTTGCAAGGAGATAGAAATGTTTTTCCTTGAGGACAAATTATTCATGCAATCAAAACTATATTTTATACATATCTTGAAAAGGGATTACTAAATAACTCTTGAAATCTACATTTAACTCTAATGGAGAAGAACGACTAAGCAAAGGAAACAAAGTAATCCCAAAGAAGTTTCAAATACTTTTCATCTGGGATGACATTCTTATTTATACTTGACAGATTATTTCTTCAGGTACCTTGAATTCTGAATTTTCCTCAATAAGTTGGAATACTATGGCACTATTATGTTAAAAATTGTATTTGCGCCATCTATATATTATAATAAAGAGTAATGTGTACCTCTAATACAAGCAGAAAACTTAATGTTGCATTATAATAAGGAATAAAGTTTGAGTTCTCATTTCACAAATCAGTTAATTATAACTCAGAGAAGTCAAAGTTCTATAAATCAGATGATTCAGAAAACTTTGTCAACTACATTCTGCTACAACATACAACGGGGGGGGGGGAAACCTTGTTGTACATGTCTGAATATTTCCTAGTATTCCTTCCTTTGTGTTAAAAGCATTACATTGGGTGCATGTTTTTGCTGAAGAAATACAGAATACTGGTTTGAGCTTTAAAGACCTTCATGGCCTGAGTTCAAGCTAGTTGAAAGAATATCACTCATTTATTGAGAGGAGGTTTATTTAAAGTTACTGAAGGCCAAAATAATTAATCTCCATTAATTTGGGGCCAAGCTTTCTCCAAAGCCATCCCACTTGGGAGGATGGGCTCCTTGCTGAACTGAAAAACCTAACATCTCAGTCTTTTGATTTAACCATGTTTAATTATTTAGTTGTGCTGAGCTACTTCGTAAGTAGAAAATAAACAATGGTATCAGGTTGAAGGAAAAGTGATGCAGTGAATGAGCTTTTTACATGGAGACATTTTTATTCTACTAAAGAATATAGGTCCCAGATTTCCTGCATTAGAGCAGTAAAATGTATTATCCAGAAAAGATGATCCAGACTTGACTAGGTAATTATTATCAGGCATATTTATATTTCTTTTCAAGAATTCCAAGCCAAAAAAAGAGGAGTTTTAATTAAATGCATATAGACTTATAATAAACCTTGCTAAGAACAGCAATTCCATGGATAACTTTAGCTTTCCAGAAATATACATTTTTCCCATTCATTTTTCTCTCTCTCTCTTCAGCTTGTGTAGCACATGGTTACTATTTTTAAAACCTGTTTATGAACTCATCCTAACATGCAGATTTTTTTTAAAAAAATATATCCTCTAGTAAATAAAATAATGAATAAGTGATAGTGAAACAACATCAGTCTGTAACTACTCTGTTTTCTTCTCTTTCCAGCTCCAAGTACAACCCAGCTTGGGATCACTGGGGGCACAGAAGTTTTCTTGTCCTGCTGGTACCTTGTGTTGACACTGTCCTCTTACACCAGCATAATGTACCTGAAGAACATCGTTCTACAATAAATGTAAAGAACCGTGGAAAGCTTTTAAGGATTATTTGAAAGTGCTGATGACTGGATCCAATCTGGTAGAGTTGGTTAAAAAAAAAAACACGTCGTGGGATATAATCAGCAGTGCTTATTTGGGAATGATCGCCTTCTGTAGAATTGCTCATTATGTAAATACTTTAATTCTACTCTCTTTTTTATTAGCTGCATTACCTTGTGAAGAAGTACACATTGTCCTTTTTCTTTTCCTTTCTCTCTTTTTCTTTTTGAAAGATGTGAAATTATTTTTAGAGGATATTAATTGTGAGTTCATGTTTGTAATCTACAACGATTCAAAAGCATTCAGTCATGGTCTGCCAAAGTGCAGGCAATAGTTTACATAAAAAGAACCCAAATAATTGCAGTTAAAAATGTGATCTTTAAGGCTGCAATACAAGCATTCATTTCCCTCTTTAAATAAGATTCTCTCTATATTGACACAGAATCTTTTTTTTTTTTACAGAAAAAGGCTAAATAACATTGGCTTTGATTCATCTCTTCAAACTAGAACACATATCTAGATTTTCTTCTAGCATGACACTCAGATTTCAAGAATGAGCTTTGTAATATGACTGCCCTGGGCAGTTATGCTTTGATTTTGATTTTCTTGTCTGTTCAGCATGGGTGTGCCTTCATAAGATACTGCTTTTCTCTTCCTCTCGGATGGGAGATTATATAAATATATATATATATACATATATATATTTTGGTAGATGCTAAGTTCAAGGGTACTGAATCTCTTATTAAGAACAAAGGTGCTATTCGGCTGTACCAGTGGGGAAAGGAACTATTCAAACACTGAGCACAGAAGCAGACAGAGTAAATAGATGGTACTGGAAGTGGGTTTTTTTTCCCTTCTAAATCTGTTAAAAACAGCAGATATTTCAGAGGCTTCTTTATGAATGTAGCCCCTTTTTTTGTTCATACTGTGTCATGATTTTTAAAAGACTGCAAAGAAAGTAAGAATTCCTTTATTTTACTCAATGTTCAGAAGTAATGTCAACATTTGCATTTCAGAATTGTTCTACCTGCGCAATGTCTAGTAATGAGAAAACCTAAATCATTTGAATGGTCAGAAGGATTTGAAACCTTCTTTTGAAACCCTACATGTTTTTACGATAATATACATTGATGGGCACAGACATCAGGAATAACCTCTATTCCAATCACAGGGCACAGATGACACATAGGAATGTGTTAACGTACCATTGGTACTCAAACATTTTCTTAAAGTTACTTTGCTTAGATAAGAAATAACTGTTTCCTACATAAACATGTGGCTGAAGAATTTCCTCACGTTTGCAGTAACTGTGCCATTATCTTCACTGTCTTATGTGTAGGTAGCAGAGAGAGGTCATGTAAATGCTGGATTACCTATATGCCATACAATGTAGGGAAGATGATATGTCATTCTCGAACATGCATATTTAGAACTTACAAAACGTAAAATGGGTGCCTAAAAGAACTTTTCTCTCATTTATATTTTTTCTTAAATGCAACTTATAAGAGGTCAGTATTTTTTTTCCAAATGTTATGTGCTACATATCTGGTTGCCATAGTGTTGATTCTCTACCTTTGTCTTAGTATGACGTTGTATTTTCTCCCCATAAGGAGAACAAGTCTCCTTTTCTCAAAAGGAGAACAATTCAGATTAGCCACTCTTAAGTTAAATGTCAGTCTACACAATCTAGTAAGGAACTTGTCGTTCCAAACAGATCATCTTTAAGCAGAAGAAAAAAAGGAGAAACTGCAAATTTATAGTATTATATGTGTTTGACATGCCGTGTGGCAAATTAACAAAAGATTTTAAAAATTCAAACAATATTCTGATGTAGAATAACTGGATACTTCAGCAAATGCATAGACTTCTATTTGGACTCTGACATGCTGTACAGGGAGAAAATTACTCTTGGCTACTTGAATGAGGGCAGTTTCCTTTTTCCCCTGTCTTTTGCCTGGTTCAGGATGAATGATAACAGCTTGTTTCCTTAATTGAAGTTGCTGAGACATTTATAACCAAGTGCAATAAAATGACTCATTGTTAGATAAAGTGTTGTTTCTTAGGCAAAAAGATCTCAAAAGCAAAACACAATTTAGCAATATCTCAGAGGTCTACAGAAAAGCTACCAGGTCTCGACCCTTATAAATTGTAATTGTGACTTTAAAAATAAATGACTAGGGTATCTATTCTTAAGTCTATCAAAGCTGGACAAAAAGGAAATTTACTGAACTGAGTACAAATTCAGCCTTTTTTAAAATTCCCCAAATAACATTGTTTGGGGAACCATCACAATCTGTTCACTTGTCTGCCAGGTTTAAAACATATTATACCATTCAATAGTCTGCTCTTTTAATCCATAAATAAAATATTATTAGACTAAGAAGGGAATCCATTGCAACTAACAGATGATTCTTAAGAACAGGAATATCCATATTATGAATGTTAAATAATTACAGCCTCCAGAGCTGGACTATAAAAATCCAGATGCCCACTAGATGGCAGCAAACAGGTGCAGACATGCTAACTCTTTGCTGCCATCTAGTCATCTAGATTTCTGCCAGGCAGAAGTGGAGGCATTCTCATATTATGGCTATCACCATTCAGTGGAGCAGTCTGTATTTTCTCTTTTGTTCTGCTGATAATCAACTGTTGTTAAAAAGGGGTGTGTTTTTTTAAACTAGAAAAGCTTGATTGAATTGGTTTAATGCAATATTCTGACATTTGTCTGCCCAGACATTCAAACCTATTAGAGTAAAGAGTGCAGGCAATGTTTTCTGTGTTGCTGCGTAATAGATCTAAAAGCCTATTCATGTATCCCCTACAAAATGTTACGTATAAACCATATAAACCAAGAACAGGATATGAGTTTATCAAATGTGCTGTGCTCCCTGTACCTTTAAATGCCTAGACTAGAGCCATTCTCTTTAATTTCCCTTGTATTGCAGCTTTAAAGTTCTAGAATGCATTTCACAGAAGAACGGAGCAATACTGCAGAATCTTCTGTCAGTGCTCTCTTAAGGAAAAAGAAACAGTTCAAAGCTATGTCACAAATAGAGAACCCAACATTCCTTTTCACATCCGTAGAGAGCTGCTTTAATAGATTTGTTTATCCAAATTCTATGGTCAAGTTAACTGCTTTCTTATTCCTCCCCCAGCACACGGAGGCTGCTGATTCCTGCAGCAAACAGGGTGATCTTATTTTTCTTATTACTGAACATGAAAATACCTGTGATAAAAGGATTAGTAATGTTTTTGTTTGTAGGGAATTCCCACCACAACAGCAGTTGGAATATATTAGCTCAATGTTTAGCCCAGCCTCTGAATGTTCACTTGCAATTGTTGAGTGTTTTCTTTTTAAAACATTAAACCCCTGGTTGTAGGGGGGGAAAACATCGTAGAAAACCACTTCCTGATTGTGTAGGGGAAACAATTGTATGTATAAAACTGGGTTTGATTCTGTAAGTATTTATTATCAAATTTGGACTAGTTCAATAAATACTTTCAGGATTTGCCTTGCAAAAGGCACCTTTGCAAAAACATGTTCGGTCTAATCCTATCAAGACAGACACACACATAATTTTGCACTGAATTGTTCCAGTAATCATTTTTTTAATAGCAGGTGTCTGCATATTGACAGGATTGTCCCCCCACACACACAAGTTCCAGATTTCTCTAGTAAGCCTTTTTTATATGATCACTGTACAATTTGGGATTTAATGGGACTTGATGTGGATTGTGTTGGTTGTTCAAATTACAATAACATTTTACAGAGTTTATTAGTTCTTAAATTGTGGAGTATGTTTGTTTCTGTTTCTTACATGAATCTGTGGTCATCTAATCAATATCATTGCTGTTTAGATTTTTAATCAACCACTATTATATTTCTCCCAGTTGTGGAATGAATATGAATATGAATATGTATGTATGTGTATATATATATATATATACACATACATATATACACTGTATATTCCTACACGGATTGGATTAGATCCAAGAAATGTAACTAAAGACTTATTATACAAAAAGTGTCCCAAGTTTTGAATTGTGACAATCTTTCAGCTAAAACAAGGCAATTAATTACAATTGTATTGTTACCAGATTAACATACAGAGAAACTGAGTGGTGCTGATTGGAATTAAGGATGTCTTAATATATGTAATATGAATTGTCATTTTTTAAAATAGCTTAACTGGGAAATTGCTATGAAAATTCAGTTGAAGTCATTCTTTTTTGTTCTTCATATTGTTTTAAATTACAGTTTGTTTCAGATACAGATGTCCTGAAAGCGGCATCACTAACTGTGCAATGCTATTCATATTTACACTGGAATAAGCCCTCCTGAATTCAGTAAGACTTATATCTAGGTAAGTCGGTATAGCATTGCAGTCTAAAGTATTGTGCTTTCTTTTCTCTGAACATTTTCAAAATCAGTATTTAACATTATGCTGACCAAAATACCCATATACCCCACAAAACTGTGTGCACTTAAGATTGTGTATACCAAAATATGAATATACATGGATAAAAATGCCTTAAAGTTTAGTATGCACTTACTTTCAGGGACTGGACCATTTTTTACCAGTCTGAGGAAAATAGTCCATATTTCATAACTTGCAGTGGAAGGATTGTTTGTTTGTTTGTTTGGGGGGGGAAATGTTTTTACCCCAAAGGAGCATTTGGTAATTTCAAGTATTATTTCACCAAGCAGACTGTGTCAGAAATTTCAAAGCCATGGTAGTAGAACCCAAGCCTGATATTCCAGGTGGGCAGGCAAATGTTTTGTAAGAACATGATTAATGTTGCAGTCCAAATCTTTTTGCATCTGGTGACATTTTTGCCTTTGATTTGATTAAGTAGAGTGATGGATTCCATCCGGAAGAAGTGGCAAAGCTTTCACTTTGATCATGCTTGCTATTAGATAATTGGATGGTATAAACTCTGTCAGTCCAAACATAACCCGTCAAAGGGGATGT